CAAACACACAACAATAATCAGCGCTGAGAAAAAAGCAGTTAAGAAAGCATCTGATCATAGGGATGCGAATATGTTTAAACCGCTCTGCAATTGGCCAAAGTATTCATGTTTTTACTCATGTCCGACCTTGAAAAGTGAAGAAGAGAACCTGAAAAGATTCCCATGTCAAAGAGCACATCCTTAAAGGATAATTCCGGTATTGAACACTTTGAGTCTATTTTCTAGTTTGTTTTGGATGAACTAGAGTGGTGGACTTAGAAATGTTGACGATGGATCCTGTCTCGACTTTTTGACTATTTTAGAATCGCCTCTGAGCGCTTCAGAGTGGCTGTCTATGGGCATGCTCAAACATGTCCTTAAAACAACCCTTAACGTTCGTTTTTAAAACTGTGCACCTCACCGAGTGGTTAGTGGTGTTTCGTTGATGATTAAAAACAAATATATCGGCGCAATGTATGCTTTCAATCCGTGTTATTTGCTATAGTGGAACTATTTTTTTCAGATACCTCACAACCGCGTATAAACTTCCGCTCGATATTTGAGTCTGAAGCGTTAGCACACTCCCGACCACTTGATGGCGACAACCACTTTGCCGCAGCTGCTCACGCTAGCCTTCTGAGAGCAGAGAACCCATAGACAGTATAAGAAGTGGACAGAGCCATCTCATTGGAAGAGACAGTTGAAGCCCATTTTTAGCGATTTTTGAGCACTTCCGTTCCTGACGCGCAGCCTGACTCAAACCGACTCAAACTAAGCTTGATGACGTGAGGAACCTGTCTGACAGACGTGAATCTTCTAGTAGCTGTGTGTGAAAATTGCCAACGTTAATCTTGCAGAGACGGGGAACTTGAGCAAAGAGTTCTTTGGCGTGAGTGAGCAGGAGTAAGTATCCCGTTGCTTTTATGGACTCATTATCTATGGGCTTCTCCCTTGACGGGACGTCCCCCCGATTGCCTGCGAGCTTCTCCTCCTGTCTGTACGGTCAGTGGCGCAAAAAGTGGGTATGCGCTATATGCGGCGCATAGGGGCGCAGCACCATGGGGGGCGCCAAAGCGATGGTAATTTTTTTTTTTATCATTAATTTCATTTAAAATATATAGGCCTATATTGTATTTTCTATATGTAGCTGCTGTTGTGCGTTTTTTAAATAATTTCTGCATTTCTTCAATGTTATATAAAATTTTAGAGGACTAACAGGCTAGAGTAGGCGCCCTCATGGAGAAGGGGGCGGGGTGATATCGCGAGCGCGCGGGGGCGCCGTGAGCGCTGAGCGAGCAGGTACGAGTAGTGAGTTGTCGTCGAAAAAGATGGATAAAAACAAAATGCTGTGGGGCTAAAAATAGAAAAAGAAAGCGGGAAAAGGAGATGGCATGTCAACTGATGCGACAGCAGCTAAATAAGTGCATGCTGAAAGCCAACAGGTAGGATTTAAAGTGTGACATCCAGGCATGTATGCCTATATCTCTGTGGCCATCGGGACTACCGGGAGATTCCCAGTGGGCCGACGTGCTTTTTCGGCCGATACATCTCATACTTTTTTTCTTTTTTTTTTTAACGGCCCATAAAACTCGTACATCGGCGGCCCATTGTTTTTTTGTTTTGCTTAATTGGCGGCGCTGGGTTAGTGCTGGTGTAATGCATTGGTCAAAAAAAGTCAGCGTTAGTTTTTTTTCTGACACACCAGCCCATGAAACATGTCATCATGTGCTTATCTCTTTCAAGTATAGAAATTAGTACAAAACTAATTATGAAAGTTTCCTTTATTTTTCAGTGCATTTGTTTTACAATATAGGCCTATGGCTATTCCTATCATGGGATTAATATTATAACTATTATTATGTAGTAGTGTAATGTAGACAGACACTAACTAAAAGAGGTTTGAATTTTTCTTTGTTTAATTTGTACCCTGAATATGGGTTCGAGCTTTTAATTTTTAACTCTCAAAGTGCACCAGACTGATGAATTTAACATTAAAGAACACAAAATTTTCTTGCGGGGGGACATGCCCCCGAACCCCCCTAGAGAAACAGAGGTCCACCTACCACAGTTTTACCTAAAATCCTGTGAGAAACACTGGTATTGCTGTTCCAATTGAGCTTATAGTTTTTTTAGGGGGGTTCATCACGGTGGAGTAACTATCGTTTAATTGTATTAATAAATGACAATTTTGCACTTTTATCTGTTAGCTCTCACTCGTTCCTACTCACTTATTACATGGCACACTTATTTTTTTATTTTTCTTTGTTTGAGGCCGGGGGGCGCAAAAATTGTTGCTGCATACCCCTCTGACACTGGGTAGTTGCGTCCCTGTGTACGGTCATTTCTGTACAGCGCGACAGAGAGTCGAGTGGTTATGACGCAATCGTTAGCCTATTTTTACAAAAACTGTTACTACGGGGCCATAATGTAACATAGAGGGTAATGGAGCCCTTTATACATTGTCGTGTTTCTTTAGAAATAAATAATGGACAAATGGAGTCTTTAAACGCCTCAGATGTAAAGTTATTCGCTGTCAAAGTGACGCCAAAATGAATGGGAGTCAATGGAAATGCTAACGCAAGTGAAGTTCTGCTACAACATGGCGGCACCCGGCCGGCTTCAACTTCCGGTCGATGGATTACCCCCTTGGGAGAACCGAGCGAAAAGACTACAACCAAATGTAAACAGACCCCTTTACGTTTCCGGTAGCGCAGTAATATCAACGAGCACTGAGTCCTCCAGCAGACATCAATGCGATATTAAAAAATGGCAAATAAAACACGACAGAAACTGTATTTCGCTACGCTACTTGTTTTGGAACATCGACGAACACCACTAACCACTCGGTGAGGTGCACAGGTTTTGAAAACGAACGTTAAGGGTTGTTTTAAGGACATGTTTGAGCATGCCCATAGACAGCCACTCTGAAGCGCTCAGAGGCGATTCTAAAATAGTCAAAAAGTCGAGACAGGATCCATCGTGAATATTTCTAAGCCCACCACTCTAGTTCATCCAAAACAAACTAGAAAATAGACTCAAAGTGTTAAATACCGGAATTATCCTTCAAGTAACCCTCATGGACCAATGGCAATTTAAAGTCTAAATTAAGTCATACCAGTTAGTTTTTTTTATTTCTCTTGGCCTTAACTTCTATTTATTTTTTCAGACTAAGAATTATATTGACATGCACATGATCGTGTCTTATATCAAACAAACCGAGTATACCAGTATACCAAATTCATTAATTAACTAATTAAACATAATTATTCACTAAGACAACAACACACTTCAGCAACAACATATGGATTTGATTTTCTGTAAATTTTGTGTCAATTGTCCAGTGAATCCCTTTGACCTTTTCTGGCTGCTTTTTGATGTCATTTAGGCAAATTTAGGCACTGATTTAAAAAAAAAAACGTTTCCATTGTACAGATGTACACTCAACTGGCCTTTTACCAGCACCTCTTACAGAGGTAAATCTGGATGTGAATTGTTTCTGTGGAAGATGGTCAGTGCATGAAGCCATCTATGACAAATCACGACTACAAAAGTTGTCATACTACAAAGGAAAACTCAGTGGAAGACAGCTTAAATCAAGGCACTGATGGATTTCTTTTTAAATAAAACCGAGGATCTTACATTATGGAGACCACAAGGTGTTCATACTGAATATATATATATATATTATAATTTCTGATAAAATGAGGGCATATACATTTATATTTATTATATATTACATTTTATAAGAAATTACAATTATAGTTGGACATTGTATATGTAGGCAAGGAAACATTTTCCAGCACATATTTACTCTGATTAATCATCGTTAAAAAAATAAAAATCCCTACATAATGAGCATAACATATTTGGACCTGCTAATATCAAGACAACAGTTTCACAGAAAACTGGAAACCAAATGTAACTGAAATCTGTTTAAGAGGCCTGACATATTTTTGCCGTATAATTTGGTGCAGCTAGTGGTGAGAAAATATCTGAGAATTCGGTGAGAGATATTTGAGCATTTCTGTAGCTCAAGAAGTACGACATGGTCATGTGTTTGATTCCCAGGGAATGCATGGACTGATAAACTGTATACCTTGAATGCCATGCAAGTCACTTTGGATAAAAGTGTCTGGCAAATGCATAAATATTAAATGTAAATTAATTAATACCGTACACTGCAACAGTAAGTGTACATACAGCACTCCTTTGAACCAGATGAAAAGCTACAATAATGCATTTTGATTTCATATCATATATCTGGCTCTTGATATGTCAAGCTTCACGACAAATTAGCTGGGAATAATGACCCCGGTGACCTTACAGATGGAGGCTGACCTGTAGCTCAAGTGAGTTTCAGTGCAGTATGGTCCACTGGGAGTGAACTGTGGATGTCTATGCGTGAGTGTAGTGTACTGCTGAGGGACTGAATGGTGAGACGGTGATGCTGATGAAGGCTGCTGTTTTCCGTATGTTTACCATCATTTCAGCTCTCTTGGGGAGGACAAACATGGCTCAGACTGAGAAAGGCCATAGAGCAAAGGCCTCCCGAGGCCGTACACGCCCTCTCACGCACACATGCCCACTAACACACACAAACATACGCATGCTAGTGCGGCAGAGACGGGCAAATAGAGAAGAAAAAAACCAAGGGGAGGGAGGGCAAGACACGGGGTGACTGGAAGGGGAGGCGAGAGAGAGAGAGAGAGAGAGAGAGAGAGAGAGAGAGAGAGAGAGAGAGAGAGAGAGAGAGAGAGAGAGAGAGAGAGAGAGGGCCTGCAGACACAACACAGCTCAGAGTTGATTGGGAGTGACAGGCTGCTGATTAGTCAACTCGCAGCCTACACACACGCACAAACAAGAGCAGAGAAATGAGCGACCTATTCTTACATGCACTTTTTTCTAATGCAACGTTTGGTGGAGATATTTTTATGCATTGATAAACATCCTTTCTCCAAACAAATCAAAGATACAGGGGCTTTTGTGCTATCAGAGAGTGAGTATTGATGGATGTGACTTACCTTGAGAAGATAGATGGGAATGTTGCTGAAATCCACAGGGAGTTTGAGAAGGAATCGAGCAGAAAACTCCCCCGTCTAGAAGAAGAAGAAAAAAACACATGAAGAGAATCAAAAAGTGAACACGCACACATTCTGTAACATTCCTCACACAGTAACCAACTTTATAGGAATCATTTATCCATAATGAAAATTCTGTCATTATTTTCTCATTGTCAATTTGTCCCAAACCCATTTGACTATATTTCTGGCATAAAATACTAAAGTTCAGAAATTCTGAAAAATCACACTGATTGCTCTTTTCCATCATATTAAAATGAATGGGGACTGAGGCTTTCAAGCTTCATAATGATGTAAAAGCCACACAAAAGACATCCATACAATTGTGTTAGCCCTTCGATGGACTGGCCATTCGTCCACTCCAGGCTGCGGCCCATGGCGCTGGAATAGATTGCAACTCGACATAGGACAAGCGGCTTGGAAAATTGATGGATGGATGGAAGACATAAGGTGATTCTCAATTCGTGTATGAGTAATGCATTCACACTAAAAATTCCAAATAGAAAAAGTGCACTTTAAATATCCAGATGATGCACTTAATTAACCAAAAAAACATGTTGGACACTTCATGCACTCAACTGTCCCAGATTTAATTATGTAGCAGAGAGGGAGGGGCTAACAGACTGTGATGTTGAATGGCAAAATAACGGTTGAATACATAGTGCATAGTGCATCATTTGAGGGACGCCACTATAGACATTCTTTGTGTCATGGGCCAAGTCATAAGATTCAAAAGTAAACATTTAAATCAGTATTCACTGATAATCTGCATCTCCACCTCCAAATGTATCATTGAGTCAGTGACAAGAACCATATCAGTCCGATTTGTGAAGGGCAGATTTCAAGTTTTTCAGTGAATATTGGCTTGCATTTCTATTTGTCACACAAAGCTATGGTTGACTTCAGAAATATTCTCTTCAGAGACACGTTTCATTGATTTGTATGTCCCTTTCAAGGTGGTGTGTGTGTTTCGGGGTGGTTGGGTGGGTGTCCTCATAGAACCTACTGTAATCTGTCCCTACCAAGGGCTATCAGCAAAAGCTATAAACAATAATTTCCCAGCTATGTTATCAGATACTGTGCTGATGCATTGGTCAAGCCACTATTGTCAAGGTACAATTTTTGATTTAATTTAAAATGGAGGTGAAGTACATATTAGGCAACACATGTGAGAGAGTAATGCCCTGCTCCCTTCAGAGAGTTCACTTCAAATTCTCATCAAATGCTCTCTAAAGTAAGTAGGCCATAGTCACATTCACTTTCGAATGTAATTCGCAGCATGACTCCTTGTTTACATTCATATAATTTACCTAACTTGGGTTACATCATTTTAAGATGAGGATTACACAAATGTTTCCTAATCACAATCTGTTATCCCACAGACCACAATTCACCACATCCCTTTAAAGACTGAAGCCCATGAAGCAACACACTCACGCCCATAGCCAACACACAGCACTCTTCCCAAAAACACGACCATATTACGGAACCCTCTCTGTGTCCATTTGTGAGGGAGTGTGTGTTCGTTTTTGACCTGTTGTGCAATTCGCTTTGCTCTTCACCAGGAACCCACTGCATCACTGAGGCCCACACCATAGGCAGTGCTTTTAACAGCACAACACATACATAAGGTTGTCGGTTCAAACCCTAAATGGGATGAACGATTACCAGTCACCACTGTGAACTATATCTGTAGCACTGTATAAAAGTGTCAGCTAATTAAAAAATTAGCACTGTTAATTACAGAATTGCAAAGGTGGACTTTAAAATTAGGTGGAAATGAAGCAGAGAATTATTACCACTTCAGTCAATTAGTTCATGAAATTTCATTAGGAGGAGGTCAGATTAACTGAAGTGAAGCCAAGCGATTCAGTGCATCAAGTATCTGCTTTATATATATGCTTTAAAGTATATGCTTTGGTACATATATATGGGATATATATGATGAATAGACGCCAGACTGGATATCTTAATGAGGTTTACTATAAGATTATTTTTTATGTATTTAAATTGTAAATAATATGTCAAATGTGAATTTGCCAAATGTTGGGTGATTGTACGCTGCAAACACAATTTCCCTACGGGGATAAATAAATAAATACAATACAATACAATTTATATTTGGAATTTAATAGATGCAAAAAAAGATGTTCAAAACTAATAAATAAGTCTGGCATCAGTAAAACATTATGTAACAGGACTCAATAGTCCTATTAAACTGCTATAATCAATAAAATTGTCTATCCACCGTATTCCTGACGACCTTACTGCGTTTTGAATTATGGGTGGCACTTCCGGTTTGGGGAACGTCCATTCAAAAAGGCTGAAATGAATCATTTCAAATCATAAGGTTGCCCTACAAATAAAGCTGATCCGTCAGTTTGACTGGATGAGCTGTCAATTTTCCTTCATGATTTATTTTCAGACATCATGAGAATAACGTTATACTTGTTATTTAAACGTGACATGTTAGAACAAGAATATCTACGGCAAGAGCTCTTTTCAGTCGCTGCTTTCTTTTCCTCGTGATTATTTTTATTTTTTCCTTTGCAATCCGCTGTAAAAGTATGAAAAAAGTACAACATATACGGCACATTTCTGTTCTCCCGAATTTAATTTACGATAATAATTCACTGGAATGCACGAAGAATCTCTCGTTATTCTCCTCAAATCCTCACGTCTCTTTCCAGGTTTGTTTTCACAGGTAAATGCAATTTATAATCTGTCAAAATGACGGAAATCACTTTGATATAGTGTCACGTAATGCTGAAGTTAATGAATATTTTTGATTAAGGCTTGTTATACAATATATTTGCCTACTACAGTGATATTTAACCAAAGACTCGCGCTTTTGGGGCTATTTTTGGTCTGTTGACCTTGTTGATTCTTTTAAACTTCATTTTAATGTTCGATGGTTGAAGGGTGAGTCGATTAATGTCATCTCATTGTGACACTTTTTTAACGTATTGCGTTCATAGAGCGAGCCTTTCACTGATTGTTTACAGCTTAACGGAAGTTACACCCATAATTCGCGCAAAGCATCATGGGGCGTAGGAATAAGGTGGATACTGAAAGTGTTATATTTTGATCTACATATTTTTGTTTAATTTGGCATAATGTTTATCACATGGACTGGCAATCTGTCCAGGGTGATTTGTTCCTTGCTTTTGGCCCGAGATGCCGGGATAGGCTACAGAATCCCCATGACCCTACATGAGACAAGCAGTTTGGAGAATGTATGGATGGATGGATGTTTATAATGATCTCACTGAATGGAAACATTGGGCTAGTGTGTTAATGTAAATCTATGAGGTGATGTAGGACGGTTACCCAGCTGTTCTTGCGACCGGCGTAGATCTCCATACTGCGTCCATAGTTAGGGTCGTCCACCAGGCTGTCGTATTCGAAGAGCAGACGGGAACTGTCGCGCAGCCGCTGGCACTGGTACTGATGGTACTGCTGTAACAGCTCTTTCACCAGCTGCAGGAGACACTCCGGTTTACCCGCATCCCACGACACCAAGTGCTGCCAGAGGAGACAAAACCAAAGAAAGAGAGTGGGAGTCAGCATTTTATCACACTAAACAAGTGTAGACGGGGAAACAGAAACATCTAGCACTTTTCAGTCAACTTTGAAAGTTTTCTGTGTGCACAAACCTATAAAGTGAATATTAATAGAAAAGGTATTTGCCACACATTTTATTTCAGGTATATTTCAGAGTGAAATTTGTTGCATTATGGCAATAAAAAAATAAATGAAAAATTGTCGGGTTAGGAGTTGAAGATTGAAGGTGTTATTTAGATTGGAAAAAGTGGCAGTACAATATCCGAATGGATGCAAACATAAAACTCTGTCGACACCATTGGTTGAAACTTACAGTAAGTGGTCTTGGTGTGACATCAGCAGAATAGGAAAATCAGAGTACGTGAATTACGATTGCAAATAGGGCCAATTTTAATTCATGATTACTTAAAAAGAAACATTGTGAGTTTTCTGTGCCTCCAAATGGAAATAAAGACTGTTTCTTAAAAAGGTTTCCCAGATATTTCCCCATCTGCCATGGTTCATAAAGCTAGTCCCACCCCACCTTGTGACATTGGTTGAGGTCACTGGATTGCAACACCACTTACAGGCAATTGCTTAACCCTTAAAGAGCATATCTCAGGTCTTTATTGACCAGGAACGTCATTCACTACTCTTCCCCTCATTCTTTTTTAAAGTTAGACATCAACCTTCTATATATAACAAGAAAATAAGAAAAAAAGAATGTCTGTTTTCTAATTTTGGGGTCGCTGGCGACCCGAGGTTTGTAATAGTTTAAGTATATTTTTTCTGCGCATCAATAATTGAATCTCTGATGACGCAAGTACTGTACGCAATCAAATATTAGTGCCACTGATGGTGGATCTGGAGAAGAAGCTGAAAAAAATGATAGTTTTGAGAATGTTTGAGATGGCGAATAAGAGCAATATGCTGGATGTACTGGGGAAATGTGCTCTGATGAAGACAGTGATGATGTTAAAAAGCGTCTACTCAAAGTTACCCTTCAAAGTTCCAAAAGGAAATAAAACAAGCTTTGTTTTATTCTTTTGCAGTTGTTGTTAAAATATCAGGTGAGTTTTATACAGTACTATTGTGGCAGTTAGAGATCCATCCGTGTTCGATATAGAACCGGGTCGCTAAAGACCCGTAAATGTAATGATGATTGGTGGAACATTCATGCATTTACGGGAAAACGTCTTTCCTATTGTAAAGTGTATACAGTATGAGTGAAATAGCTTCTCCAATTAGGAAAATATGAAGGATGACACAATAATTTTTATGATTTTATTAAAAATTATAAGGGCCCTTTTTTTATATAACGATGTGCACGGATAAATAGTTTACAATAAAAAATCTAACATTCCATTAAAAAATAAGAATGGTTCATTTTGATTTCATGGTGACTTTAAACAAGCAGTTGAGAATATCCAAACTCCTGAGGGAAATAACCCGAATACAAGTGCAATGCTTATGAAATATAACAGAGTTATACTCTCAGAGTACAACAGGTTACTAGAACCTTAAACTAGCTTTATGAATCATGAAGTTATCAAAAATCATCACTGAATGACTCATTGTGAAACAGATATAATGCAAGGGTGTTTTATATGGAACAGACATTAAATACAGACTGTTTGCTTAGACTGCAAAAGACCTTTTAGAGATAAGGAGAAAACAAAAGAATGCGGCAACTAAATGCAGGTGGTAGTTTCTAATGTGCTGAGCCTGGGTCTTTTCACCCTTTATTGTCACAATGTCAACTTGATGTGGTGGTTTCCACCTTTTTGCAACCCCCTCCCATCAATCTTGAGGCAAATGGCAACACCACAGGATATCCTGCACCAGCGAGGGCGCTTTCATCTCCAGATTCTACGTATCCCAAGTCCAGACGCCAAAAGACGAAGGATTCCAGCTCTGTTTCTTGCCGAGGCATTCAAACAATGTGCCTCAAAGCAAGGGAAATTAAGGCACTAAAAAGGAGGAAACACTGTTCTCGCACAGTTTTCAGATAAGACAGCACAAGACCTTGAGTCTGTGCCATATGTTTAATGCATGCAGGTAACAATGGTTTGGTAAGAAAACTCGATTTTTGAAGGTTCAGACGGCAACCAACAGCAGGCTATTTCCAGTCTCTCTTACTGCAAACACTCTGCTATTAGGGAAAGAAGTGAGTTGAGTGGGTGTATGCCCATCACAGAGTTTGCATTGCCGTGTTCTTGCGGGCTGCGTGAGCGGGAAAAGGCCTGCATGCCAACACGCTCTACTTGCCTTTCCTCCTCTCCTCCTACAGGCTGACCTCATTTGCATAGGTGATCCCAATTTGCATGAGCTTCCCTGACTGGAGCAGTGCACAGGTATGCAAATTCAGAGCGAGGGGGCAAAAACCAAATTGCCACCTTTTCACGAAGTGTTCCACCATTCTTTTCACTGGCCTAATTCTACCCAACAGCCAGTTCTGTCTCCGAGGCCCAATTGCTCGCTGATGCGTGATACGCACATAAGTTGAAATTAAATTTTACTGACACTGACTGAAAATAAAAGGCAGAATATTCATTTTTGCAAGCAAGTAAATAAACATGTAACTCGCTTGAGAACGGCTCCTTGTCAAGGGTTAAGAATAAGACAAACAAATAAGTATTGCTGTCATCGCGAGGCACAAACAAACACAGGCTGCGTTCAAACGAGTTTGTCACGCGCTGTCTTGGATTTTTAAATAACGGCAATGCAATTTGGGCTTGATTTTCATCGCTCCCGTGAATCACTCCATCTACGAGCCTGACTGAGTCACGTACGAGCAGAAGAGAAGAGAGGGGACGGAGCACGCCGTCTGTCCATTGAGGCACACATTACACAACTCATTAACAGCACGACCCACAGCATACAGCTGAGCTTGTTACATTTCTGGGATCAAATCAAAACGTCTTCTCAGAGTTGATGGAAAAGAGGGGGGAAAAATGGAAAGGAGAGATAAGAGATGAGCTCTTCAGCTGTGACCGGGTTTGATGATCAGGGAAAGAATGTTGCAGAGCAATCTATTCACAGATAAATAAGAAACCCAATTATTTAAATACGATTTTCAAAGTAATTGAAAAGTTCTCCTGAAATTGTCATTTTTTCTTCCCTTTTCAGTAATGGTAAACTGTTAGTACACATGCTTTAACACAGCGGTACTTAAATAGGCAATATAAAATAAAATTATTCAAGCATGTGCCCCATTATAGGCAATACGGAAAGATAAAAAAGATTACATATACACACACATATATAACCTAAAAAAAATTTAAACAAAACTATTCAAACATGTGCCACATTACTGAAAATATGAAATCAAAATGGTAATTTTTGTGAAAAAAACAAAACAAAAAAAACTTGATAATCAGAAAGTAAACACAGTGAACTTTCTTTTTCTGCATCACCTTGGAGTATTATTTGATAATGCTAACCAATAATCAACTTGCACTCATGTTCATTCTAGTATAGGATGCTTACATTTCTCAATCCAATCCAAATTTCAAATATTCAGGATATTCACTGAATAATATGCGTCACTGATACAATATTGAGTTTAAGAAAGACTTCCCAATGTTGTATTGAGTCACGGGCTAAACATTAATATTTCCCAGCGTGGTTGAGAACGACCTGAAAAACACCCTAAAAAGTGTTCCACTGTTACAGTATTTCAAATTCTTTACGGGATTAGGGGTCATGAGAAAGTCAACGTTTCCACATATGAGGAGTGGTTTTCTGGATAATGTCTTAAGTCTTACTTTAAAAGTGAGATGACATCATTGCCCAGCATCATCACTCCCGTTGGAAGGGAGTAAGTCGTGTGAGAAACATTTCTAAGATGGACATTATTCATCATAATAATACAGGGTGGAAATCTGCTATGGTGAAGATAAAATTGTATTACAGTCAGCTATGCAATTCAGATACAATTAGTTTGATTCAGATTAACAAGGTCTTTATTCATTTTGAGATTAATAGGAGCATTTGTTACAAAGCGATTTAAGCCCAAATATTTTATTCTCACTTATTATTACTCTTAAGGAATACTGTACACAGAACACCAGAGCTGCGTCCATAATACTGTCTGAGTAGGTACTATAGTTAAATACAGTTTGCGACCGTTAAATAAGTATGCTCTATATAGTATGAATGCGGGTAGTATGAATAAAATTCGGACGTAGTGTTTTTCACATACTATATACACTCACCTAAAGGATTATTAGGAACACCTGTTCAATTTCTCATTAATGTAATTATAAATGTTGCCAGGTCTGATGAGTCTCGATTTCTGTTGAGACATTCAGATGGTAGAGTCAGAATTTGGCGTAAACAGAATGAGAACATGGATCCATCATGCCTTGTTACCACTGTGCAGGCTGGTGGTGGTGGTGTAATGGTGTGGGGGATGTTTTCTTGGCACACTTTAGGCCCCTTAGTGCCAATTGGGCATCGTTTAAATGCCACGGCCTACCTGAGCATTGTTTCTGACCATGTCCATCCCTTTATGGCCACCATGTACCCATCCTCTGATGGCTACTTCCAGCAGGATAATGCACCATGTCACAAAGCTCCAATCATTTCAAATTGGTTTCTTGAACATGACAATGAGTTCACTGTACTAAAATGGCCCCCACAGTCACCAGATCTCAACCCAATAGAGCATCTTTGGGATGTGGTGGAACGGGAGCTTCGTGCCCTGGATGTGCATCCCACAAATCTCCATCAACTGCAAGATGCTATCCTATCAATATGGGCCAACATTTCTAAAGAATGCTTTCAGCACCTTGTTGAATCAATGCCACGTAGAATTAAGGCAGTTCTGAAGCCGAAAGGGGGTCAAACACAGTATTAGTATGGTGTCCCTAATAATCCTTTAGGTGAGTGTAGAATGGAAGTATTCGATTTATGACACAGCGTATGACACGGTAACTGAGAAATTGTGAGAACGTCGTTTTGGCCTTTGTTAGCGTAAA